ACTTACTGCGCTGCTGCTCGGCGCCGCCCGCGCCGGAAACAGGACAACGTGGAGCTGCCTGGCTAACCTGGGCAGCCGGGTTCGCTGCTGCCCCAGCGCACAGGAGCTGCAGTGGCCCCGCCAGTGGGATTCAGAGCCGGCTCCTCAGTTCGCTGCCCAGGCTCCCCTGCCACTAGGACAAGGCTAAACTTGGCCGCTTTCAGCAACTAGGTGGCTGGCACCCACCTTCCCCCTGACACCAGCCACCCTTTCCCCCTCCGCTGGGTGCCACGGGGCTGTCTGTAATATGCTTTGAGCCGGCATGGAAAGTACCATCATTAGTCCATTAACAAAAAACAGCATTACAGCACTTGGCTGCAAAGTGAAGCACCCAAAAATGGAGGAAGGAGAATGCTCAAGCTGCATACATAGCCTTAATTCTGACCTCTTTTATGTCTTCATTATTCTCCTCCATTTTTTCTAACTTTAGTGATACCTTCCTGACATCTTGAAGTACTAGATACTGCCATGCACACTGTAGCTTTTGGCTACAAACTATTTTATAATTTTACTGCAAGGTCAAGGAAATACAAACAGGAAAGGATCAAGGAAATAAAAGCAAACATACAGCAAGAAAAAAGCAACCGTGAGGAAGACAGCATGAAATAATACACAGTGAGGATCAAGAAAACAGAATTGGAGATTATGGTTTACAAATTTAAATTAATTTAAAAGATTATGGGGATTTTTGAGAACTGAAAACTTTATAGGGGTAGGAGGAGAATAGATAAACAGAATGACAAGTCCCATGAGTATCATTCACATAAAGAAATTCCACCTTTTTCAAAAAAACTCAGTAGTCTAGACACACCCAAGGGCTGATTTCCATTAGAGCTCAGCACCCATAGCTCTTGCTTATTTCATTTGGAGTTGCAGTGCTTCGCACCTTTGTAAATCAGACCTTTCTAAGGTCACATCTATATGTATCGGCGGATCAACACTCCAGAGGTTGATCTTCTGGCATTCGATTTAGCAGGTCTAATATAGACCCATAAAGTGAACACTGAGGGCAGCTCTGGCCAGCGTCTGTACTCCTTGCAGTCGCAAAGAGTAAGTGAAGCCAATGGGAGTGTTTGCTCCCACTGTCCTCCAGCTGCATGGATGGCACAGAAATGAGATTTAAGATACATCGACTCCAGCTACATAATTAACATAGCTGGAGTTCCATATCTTAATTCGACCTCCCACTGTAGTGTAAAACTGTGCGCCCCAGTTTTCCCAGGTGTAAAATAAGGATAAATAATATTTGCTACCTATCTTATTGCAAGACTAATTAACGTTTGCAGAGAACTTTAAAGGGCATCATCTAAATTGTTGGTGAAGATATTGAACAGAACCAGTCCCAAAGCAGATCCCTGAAGACACCTACAGATATTGAACAGAAATGGTTGCAAAACAGCCCCCTGTAAGTGGGGAGGTTTTCCTAGAGTTTCCTTCAAACTCTTTTGCTGAGTGTTGGAGTTTGGCCCTCTTCTGTGCTCTCACAGATATAGAAGGGTGTGAAGCCTTCAAGCTCCTCATATCCTCTGGCTTCAGTGGTTTCAGGCCCATTACATCTCAAATTCAAAGGATCTGGGGTTATCCCATTCCCTGTTTGTGAAGATTCTGAAAATAGGAGGAAGTTTGCTAGAGTTCAACATGGCTGTCAGTTTCTATGCTACAGTGCCTCAAGAAAGGGGCAGAGTTTTAGGATTGGCAAATGCAGGAAATTTCCATGAGCAGGAAATTCTGTCACAAATGGGCTAAGAAAAAGAGGCTCTTTTGTTTTTTATATTTGTATTACATTCTTCTCATGCATTTTGGCCACTCTGTGTGATTTTCTCCTTTTCTAGGCTGCACAAATTTAGATGATTAACTCAGTCCGGAGTTACACTGTAGAGAAATCTTTCTCCTGTTACTTGATATATGCAGAGCTTGCCCTCTTGTGGGCTTACATCGATATTACATATCTGCAAGGCTGTGTCCAGACTCAAGGGTTTTTTTTTTGAAAAAAGTAGCCTTTTTTCGAAAAAACTTCTCCTGCGTCTAGACTACAACCGCATTCTTTTGAAATTAAATCGAAAGAATGTGGCTTTTCTTTTGACGGCGGAAAACCTCATTTCACGAGGAAGAACGCCTTTTTTCTAAAGTGCTCTTTCGAAAAAGGCGTTCTTGAATGCAAACAGAGCTTTTTTGAAAGAGAGCATCCAGACTGCCTGAGTGCTTTCTTTCGAAAAAGCGGCTTGCTTTTTTGAAAGTACTGCTTGCAGTCTAGACTCTCTTTTTCGAAAGAGGATTGCAGTCTAGACGTAGCCTTAGAGACTAACAAAAAATATAAATAGTATCATGAGCTTTTGTGGGCACAACCCACTTCTTCAGATGACAAATATGGAGCAAGAGGCACAGAGGGTCAAATATAAAACAGAAAAAGAGGAGGGAGGAGAAAAAACCCTGTTAATTAAAGTATCTGTGCTAAATGAGGCTAACACAGCTTATTTGGTTGTGACTACTTTCTTCCACTATTTGATCTGAGGAAGTGGGTCTGGCCCACGAAAGCTCATCATCTAATAAACCATCTTGTTAGTCTTTAAAGTGCTACATTGTCCTTCTGTCTAGTTGGTTCCTGACAACTCTTATTTTGTAAGAGAATGGCCACTTTCAGTTTCATTAGTGAGTGAGTGTCTGAGCAAGTTAAAATGTTCCCCAACTGGTTTCTGTGTGTTGCCATTTTGAATATCTGATTTGTGTCCATTAATCCTTTGTCATAGAGTGTGTAGTCTGGCCAATATACATGGCAGAGGGGATTGCTGGCACTTGATGGCACAGATCACATTAGTTGTATGAGCCTCTGATGTTGTGGCTTATGTGGTTAGGTCTTGGGATGATGTTGCTTGTATAGCTATGTGGAGAGAGTTGGCAACAGAGTTTATTTCAGGGGTAAGTTCCTGAGTGAGTATGTTTGAGGTGTGATGTGTGGTTGGTGGAAAGAATTTGTTTGAAGTTCGGGGGTTGTCTGTAGGCGAGTACGGGCATGTCTCCCAAGGCCTGTGACAATGAGGGATCTTTTTCCAGGATAGGTTGCAGATTGTTAATGATGTGCTGGAAGGGTTTAAGTTGGGGGCTGTAGGTGATGCCAGTGAAGTTCTGTTATTTTGGTTTTGGGCCTATCTTGAAGAAGCTGATGCCTGGGTACTTGTCAGCAGTGGCAGATTTGGAGTTAGTGGGGCCCTGTGCACAGCTTCCTTTTTGCCCCTTTTTCCTGGACCAACCCAAGAAAAGGAACATTC